GTTTCGAAAATGACATTCATACGAAATAGTTTGACAATTTTTGCTTCTTCTCATAAAGAGTTCACACCTTATAAATTTTCTAAGAAATTTCTAGAAAATAATTACATATACAATATAAAAAGCAATTAATCCACCATCACTTGACGACTTAACAAAATCGCATTTGAGTAGAACACAATTCCCACAAAAATGTATTCGTTTAATAAAATACAAATCTGGCATAGCTGAAGTGCGTCTATTCCATTTCCCTTTTAGAATAAATTTAAGAAACGCAAACAAACATCTGGCAAACGGAACCTATTTACGCGTTCCACTTAAAGCGTCAGTTAAACGGCAATCCACGTTGAAAAACTTGCACTTGACATACGATACTCGTTTTAAGTGCATCGGTGTATCGAATTAGTTGTGTTTATGAAAACACTACACGCTTATAAAGCCATTACTGATTGACTGTTCAGCCTTGAGAGTCGAGATCAAAAAAATGAAGTAAACTGTAGCGCGTATACAAAATGTTTAAATCAATTCGTTTGGAATTTTTTTTTTTTTTATATATATATTTAACAATTGTCAACCATATAAATCAGAATTGGTTTGCTGTAGCGAAAATTGGGGAAGAACCGAAAACATTAAATAAGATACAATAATAACAATAAAAAGTATTTGAGGTAATTGAGATAGGTCGTGGAGAAGGCCACATTTACAAATGTCAAAATTTAAGGTAATATTTAGTTTAGTTTTTATGACGTCCATACTAACTTCCCAAAAAAAAATGGACTTAGTACAGGAAAGGTTCTTCTTTTCCAAGAAAGACGTCCCCAACAATTAGAGCGCATAACTCTAAACATGTGATATGAGTTGTAATCAGTCCGGCAATGAGACGTCTTAATTTAAAACATAATACCTGGTTGTTCCTGGAAATGGAACGGAGAGAGATGGAAAGCTAATAAACTTAAAGCGTCTATTATAAGGAGCCTTAGGAATGCTAGGAACCGTAAACCCCATAGAGCAACTTTTAGAAAACACTTCTAAACAGAATCAATAAGGTCGATAAATACCCTATAGTTGGGTAATCGTACAATCGCAGCGCATTCGATCGAGAAAAGGTCCTATCAATGCAGCCTATAGCTTTTAGTAGCGTGCGGGACAAGAAATTCTTGGGATCAACGCTTAACCAAATCTAAAAGAGATTTACAGTTATTTGCCACCGAATGGATCTACGCGAATCGAAATTGAATTTTGGATCTACGCGAATCGAACTCCCACGTCATCGAAAGACATGACATTCTCGACTTTATAACAATTTAAAAAAAAAAGTTGTTAAGGGATAATGGGACAAACTTCAAAAGTGTTAACTTTTTTTTGTGCTTGTTCAGTGCGATAATCTTGGAGTCGCGCCGGCGAACATTAAAACAATGGGATTTCGTTTATACGAACGGCGATCATTAATAAGCAATAAAGAAAGCAAAAGACGAAAGCGACTGCCTTGAGTCATCTCTAGGGATAACAACAACAACATTGCATGAGATTTAACCGTGAAAAAAGGACACGTTGAATATGCCCAAAAATATACGATCTGATCAATCAATCCAATTAAAACGCAAAAATGCAATCAGTTTCATTGTCCACACGGATCCTAAAAGCAGTTTCCGATCCATATTTATAAGGCTTACGTGCATATGGCATATTTAATATGCTCTCAGCGGTGATGCGTTCACTTAAAGTTTACGATAATACGCCATAAGCTCCAACTTATATAATTCAATAATACCAAGGTGCACAAAAAGCAAAAAATGTTTACACAATTTCAAAAACTTCATCGCTATAGTGATATAGGTAGGGTGTCAGAAGTAATTATACATTCTAAAAATCACATTAAAATACTTAACAACATAAAACATTCCAATTATAAGGCATTCTAATATGGAACAAAAACAGAACGAACCGAAAGCTTAACCAGACGTGTAGGTCCTGTTGAATAATTCATTTTTTTTTTTTTTTTTTTTTTTTTTTTTTTTTTATCAAATAAGAACAGATCTATGCACTGATTTAACTAATGTTTTAACTTAAATTGAAAGCAATGAAAAGAGATAAAATTAGATTGTCCGTCAAGCAGACGGACAGATTTAAATTAATTCAGCTTCCGACTATGCTAATCGAACCCCTATACGGCGCATAAGGAAGGTAAAAAGTTCTCCAATATTTTTTTCCTTGCAAAAGGTCGAACGCATAGCTTAAATTGCGCATTGCAAGAAGCATTTGACTTAAGAGGCGCACACCAGTAGCACTAGAAAATATTGAAAATGTCGTTTCACTTCATTTATTTCATATGGGTTCGGTTACAATTTGCAAAATTTCATCTAAATTAGACGTACAATGAGAGAGTTATACTATTTCACGAACTTATTTATGCAGAAGACTAGCAAGAAAAATAGATGTTAAAAGAGAATATGAAAGAGAAAAGAGTCGAAAATGAGAGAAAAGTAGAAATATGTTTGCGTTCCGCTCCGAAAGTTAAGCGAATTGTAAGCAACGTTTTGCAAGTCAACACAAAAAAGAAAACCAAGCCCTAGAAAGTCTGATAAGGCTTAATTCAATCCCGTATTAGTTAACTAATATATATAATTGAAATAGTTTCGCGTGTTGCTAAAGTATGATATCAGCAGCGCCCGAATAGCGTAAAGGGTCTGCTTTACGATTTGCCTGCAACCCCAACATTGATTAAGTTTTATAAACCGAGAGCTTGCAGATAGTCAAACAGGAATATTGCAGTTAATTTCATTTAACACGTCTGGTGAATCTATAATACCATTTATCAGATTGTCTAAAATGCTGATGCGTTAAAATTAGTCCACATTTCTCCATTGAAAATGAAGTTAATAGCGGTAGCGTTTTTTACGTATGGTAATCGTGAAGCTTGAGAATACCACGGCAAATAGAGATAGATGAGAGACAAATTACGTGAAAATATGATAATCGGAGAAGATTGCACGATTTTTCTCATAAAATACTCAAAATTAAGCATAGCTGTTAAACAAGGTCCCCTATAAGGATCCTTATGCGGGAGGGTATCTGAAAAATAGATCTATGTTATCCAAACTTTACATTTTGATGTCGAATTACATCGAATTTCTATTGCCCTATAAGAGTTAATTTTTTATAAGAAAATCTATATGGGGTCTATGGGGTGTTCAAAACCCAGCTTCATCGCATTCAAATTTCCAATGTTCGCACAATACTTTTACGAACTTTTTGTCGAGCGACATAGCACTACGAATGTTTTCTTAGATAGCCATTTTTGCCTCTTCTTCTTCTTCTTCTTCTTCTTCTATGTGAGAAAATTGTAAAAACGATCCGATCAACGAATTCATTTTCATAGGTTTGCTTCTTGAGTTAAGAGATTCGACCGATAATTGGTGACAGATTTACATAGTGAGATATCACTGAGACAAACGGACAGATGTGCGGCTAAACTTAAATGAATCTTAAAAACTGTTAGCATACATCCGCGCTAGAACTTATGAATGAATATAAAATCCTGCTTCACATTGCATATTAACATAACATATTAAAATTAACTTGTTTACTATACGTAATAACAAGAAGTAGTGAGCAAAATCTTTATTTAAATCGTTAATCATTCTTTTTTTAACTCAAATGCTGAATGTTTTCGTTATAATAACAGGAATTCAGTTTAACAGCATTTGATTATTATTTCATTAATAATAGAAAGCAAATAAAATATTAAGATAGAATAATATATCATATATATATATGTATATAAATACATATATGTATATAAATGTATATATATACATATATAAATATATATATATATATATATATATATGCATAAACGTATCTGTAGGCATAAAAATAATTAACGTTTTAAATGTGTGTGAATGTGAAACAACAAGGAATGGTAAATAACCCGAATATATCGATCAAGATAACTAAACAGTTTAATCCATTTACGAGTTAACTCGAAACGCAAACACCTCAAATACTTACAACTAAAAATATAAACACACATAAGCAAGCCATTGCATACAGGCAATGAGCAATAATGACCGGTAAAAAAATGCACAGCCACTATAACGCTACTAACTAAAAGAAAAAAACAAGAAAAACAAATTGAAAAAAAAAAAAAACTTCGTATCTACGTACATAACATTGCCCGCTAGCTAAGTGAAAAATTTACAATCGGTGTTGTTGATATTATTGTTGGTTGTTGTTGTTGTTGTTGTTGTTGTTTACGTATTCCTGGTATTGTGTTGAAATAGTTTCAAATTTTTGTAAACAAGTGTACTCCTTAAAAGGAACCTAAATGCCCAGCAACAATGTTGTTTGAAAGTCACATCGTATACTTTACGCGAAGCGACCAGCACACCTTTAGCCTTTCGATGCACAACTTGAAGACAAATAGCAACGATGCACCACCACTGGCAAGTATTTGCAATGTGGCCCAATCGAGTGCTTTTGTATTTAGCTAAAGTTCTAAGTTTGTTTGTTGGTTTGCGCACCAACAACACATCATATACGCACATATACGCACGCACATATAAACACACTTACTCTTACTTACTCTCAGTAGTAGTTGTACATAAATTTAGTTCATTTATTGCCTTGTTAGCTTAATTGAGCTATCGCCTAATTAGTCGTGCAATCTTACCTTATCCGTGCATTGCGACACATCCAACATTTTAATCTCAATTTCACACACACACACACACACACACACAAACACACACACACAGAGACTCAAAACATCTTCATTTGCTCTTTCAATTCTCTAGATTGAAAGTATATGCTTATGCATACATATGTCTGTATGCATGCATCTACACAATATATGTACATATATAGATAATCATCTTAATTATCTGTTGTCTCAAATTAACTTGAAAATTCTCATAGATGTTGTTGCTTCTTTTTTATTTTATTTATTTTATTTATTTTTTTGTTTTATTTGCTTCAAGTAACTCTTCTTTATTTTCTCTTTATTATAAAAAATATGAATAGTATAATAAACTTTGATTGCCTTCGTTAATATACCCGTAATCTTTTTTAATAGTAATTATTGCCTCCCAAGTGCCTGCAATACAGCCGCTTACTCCGAAAATAATTAAAAAAATATCCCGTAAAAATTTACTGCTCGTAATTCGATGTCCCTTAGTATAAATGACGCACAAATCCATAAGGCCCGGCAATACAAACGATAGAATTGATAAGCAAAACGCGCCCACCAATGGTAGAAATATGGATATATCCGGTGAGAATACTGCAACTAATACTAAAATGTAATAAGAAAATTAATGATTACAGAACAAAAAAAAACAAAAAAAAAGAAGAAGACGAAGAAGAAGCTATAAGTTTTTCATATGAAAAAAAAAAAAACAAAAAAAATCTCTTATGCAAGAAATTTTTTTGAATCAGTTAGTGGGCCACGGCCGATCAGACGAACAAACATCGATTCAGACAATGATATATACATATATGTATACATAATGATTATAATAATGTTATCTACACACACACAGCACACACACATACATACATACATAAATACATACATACATACATAATATATCCATGTACCTCAAGTGGTGTAGTGTAGTATTAAATAATATAAATAAAAATCGAAAAAGTTTTACATTAAATTTCATCAAAATATTTTACAAATCTGAATACATAAGCTATGTAAACGGCCGCGAAATTTCCAGAATTATGCAAAGAATTATTGGAGAGTTAACGAATGTTCGAAAGGCTGTTCGTGCCCCAATGTACTTTGAAATTATTTTCAGCATACATTTCGCTTGATCAGTTCTAATTAGGTGCAAGGTAAAGCGAGAGAAAGATGCTTAATTGCTTCTATTAAAATTGAATTCACTTACCTGTGCTAAGTACTATAGCACATCGTGTATTATATTCTAAAATTGGTCGATATTCTTCATCGAACATGTCTTCAAGATAATAATGCCATAAAACATCGACAACGACATAGCCTTGCAAAGCATATGTAAGAAATATAGCTAATGCGAATAATAATTTTGCAAGCCGTGAGATTCTTTAAAATAAAAACATAAATTCATTCCAAAAAAAATTTATTAAAATTCAATTATTTGCTAACAATAATTCAATACTTACAGCATATCTGAGGGCATGTTTAAGGTAATACTGCCATAAGCCTGGCAACCGAAACGCCAATAACCCACAAAACCGAAGCCAGCGTATATGATTAAGGTAAATAAAGAGGCCAACGATAAAATACCAGTACAACCAAGATAATCCTTAGGATTTGCCATTTCATGTTCAATGGCTATTATCTGGAAATATACAAACAAACAATACATCTCTTGCTTAGGATTAATTAATTTTTCATACTGCGAGAAACGATCGGTCTTTACTTAATTATGGACGGAGTAACATTTTTAACATTTTCTTCCATTCTTCTTCTAGTTAGGTTGTCGAGTTTCTTAAATGCATTGACCGATCAGCCCCCCTTTTGTGTTAATCTTAATGACACACATACTTCTTAAAATTGTAATAATTCTGTACAAACTTTTTTAGTCATACGAATGTAAAAATTTCAAATACATTTCTACATCGAATAATTTCTAATCATTGCATGTCAAATAAAGAAAATGTTCATATCTCATATCTCGAAATGGGATATTAAGAAGATATGAAGCACTTTCTTACAAAACATTTCAAACATTAAAATCAATTCTTCAATACGTTACAATATATGCTTACCACACCCACCGATTCCATTGAGAATAGCACTGTACCAAAAAATAACGGATATTTACGAATAGTGTTAAACATTTTACGATCACTTAGCGGCGGCAAATCCTCAAATATATATATCAAAATACAAGAAAATCCTTTTCAAACACACGTACAAGAAGTGTTCTAAATATTTTTTGGTTGCATTACCTGTGATTACCATGATATTAGCTAACATTGAAAATGGCACCAAACTTTTCAGACTTCGTATCATAAATAATGAAACCAAAGGTCCCGTTAACCCGATAACATATAAATTATAGCTCCATTGCTGATAAAATGCATCGCCCAACTGTTTAAGATTATCGGCAATGAATAAAATATAAACGCAACAGACACCAAAATGATAAAGACACATAAAGAAATTAACTGTAAATCTGTAAAAGGCAAAAAGAAATGAAGGGAAATTTTTCATTTAAAAAAAAAATAATAATGTTTATAAAGATTTGAGAACACAAGGCACAAGGATGAAGCACTTGCTCTGCCAAAGGTGAAAGCATACGCAGACATATTGGTCCCTCCTCCAACGCAATTCGCATGCACTCCGGATAAGATAATAATCGCAAATCATGAACTTTACTTATTTCATACATAGCTATAATCTATATAATAATAATTGAAGAGATTTTCATTTGCTTAGCCGTAAAATAATTTCTCTAAAATAAGTCTCTCTCTAACCATACCAGAACATTTATGCTATAGACCATTATGAAACCAATTACAAATGTCCCAATTAAACCGTTTAACCAACCGGCATTGCAAAAAGCTCTCGGCATTTCTAGACAACCCGTTCCAATCGAACATTTGATTATGCTTATGAACGCATCCACATTTCTAATATTAATATGAAAATAATTTTTTCGATATTTTTTTGTAATTTTTCGCCTGAAATTAATTTCGTAATAATATAGTATTTACGTTATTGGCGTTTCAATATCTCGTTTCCCGAAATGTGGATCAAAATTTGTGCTCATCGTATCGCTTATCTTGAATAGTTAGTTATTTTAAAATAATTCCAAAAAAATATATATAAAAAAATCCAAATAAAGTCAAGACAAATAAATATATATAATTAATCGAAGTAATGATAAAATGATATTTTCTTGAAAAAAAAAAAAAATATCGATAAGTGTGACAATCAAATGAATGAATGAAAATTTTGTATGTAATTTTTCAATCACTCTATCCGCCAACTTCTTATCTAAGAGCAATACCGATTTTAAAATCACATTTAATTGGTGTTTGTAATAAGATGAAAATTTTTAACTTAAATGCCAGTTACGGTCTAAAGAACTCATTTTATGTAAATTCTAAGAGTAATAAACTAAGAGTAAGTATTCTAATGTTTCCTCTTATTCACACCTAATATCCCACAAAAATACAATCCGAGTAAGTGGATCAAAGCCGTCAATCCAACTGCCATGCCCGTTGTATCCTCTAAGAGTATTTTTTCAAACTAGTAACAACTTTATGGTCGGACAAGGTGACTTATTTTATACCGCATATCATTTCGGCTAATAATAATCTTCTTCTTCTTGCTTTCGCAAGCAAATGCTAAATATCATACCTTGTCACCTTACAAATGCTTGCTTGCTTCAGGAGAAGCCTTGTCGTGCGGATTGGATCCCAACAATAGACACATTTGTGGTTCAACTATTGTGACGTACCAAAAACGCCATGGAGGACCAAAAAAGTTGGAAAACAATGAACTGGAAGAGTTAATGGAGGGCAGGCCAGCTCAACGTCTCAAAGAACCTTCGAACAGCTTATCAACGGTTTCTAGTCATTTACTTGCGATACGAAAGAGTTAAAAGGAAAGAAAATTGCTACCACACGAATTGTCCAAAAATTCTATTTCCAACCGTTTCAACATCGCGGCTTCCTTGCTTGCCAGGCAGAGAAGAAAGAGTTTCTTCTTGTGCCATATTGCGACTGACGATGAAAAGTGAGTCTACTGCGCAATCCCAAGCGTATCCCAGCAGCTCCATCCACAATCACACCGATGCGGAATATTCATGGCCACACGGCCTTGCTATGTCTATAATGAAATCAGCAAGGTGTAGTGCATTACGAGCTCCTAAAGTCGAATGAAACTCTTACTGCAGATGTCTATAGCGGTTAACTGAAGCAAAGTGATCCTTTTGCACGACAATGCTCGGCCAGCCGTTGCAAGAAATGTCAAGGAGACACTGTTTCAGCTCGAATGAGAAGTTCAGCCGCATCAGGCATCCGAAGCGTTCTCATAACCACTAATTCCGGCAGCATGGCTTGGCTGGCTTGCGGTTGCGAATGAGTCGATAATTGGATCGCTGGCTAATATGTATCGTTATGTCGACACAGTATGGGAAAATGTGGTAGAAATTTTTTCCAATAAAAGCCTTTTCAAGTGAAAAAATGATCAAAATATATTCAAACACCTAAAAGCTTTCTAAAACCTTTAATTGTTGTGTAGCAATGCGTTCAAACAATTTTGATAAACCACTTGAGTTGGCCATGCTCTTGTAAGTCTCAGCGACACATTTGTGGAGTGGAATAGGAAAGCCGCTTTCCAAGCATAATGGGAAAGCGCTAGTTTGAAATTGAAGCACATAGTTCATCAGCATATGACGGGTAGCTATTACTAAAATCGTAATTATCATTAACAAAATTACGTTGAAAGTAATCGGCAAAGAGTTTCGAAATTTCCCGATAATCGGCGCTGTCGCTATGACATCGATTAAGAAAATATGAGAGGAGACCTTTCGCTTGGGAACTCCTAACATATTTATGAACGTATTCTTGCTAGTATGGTGTAAAGACTTTATCCTTTATGCATATCTGCAGTGCAACTTTAGTAATTACGGTAATTAAATCTTTACCTAGCAGTAGGTTAAGTAGTTGAAATAATCATATATACAGTTTCACTTTTCATATATTTTTGAAAAAGTTGATTGTCTTAAGTGCTCTGTTGAACCGAGAGAGTTATCTAATCGGAACTGCAGCTAAAGGTTAACTAAAATGCACATGACTATGGCCTTTCCATGTCCACGGCTGTGAAATTAAGCTTAACGTTTGGTTACCGAGTTTTAAGAAATGAAATATTAGTTTGCCTAAAGGCATATAATGAATTTGAATGAATGAGGCTTAACATGTTCGCGTAATTCACGAGCTATGACGTGGGTAAGGAAAGGAGTGGCGAAGTGCAAAATAAAGCGGACCCTCAGATAAACTGAAATCTGAAGATCTGAAGATTAACAATTGTTCCGCGGAAATTGCAATTAGAAGCTTGATCATATTAACGCTTAAGGCTTAAAGTCAAATTTTTCACCCATTATATAATAGGGGCCATCTAACGTAAATTACCGCTACAACATCGAGCGACATGCGTTAAGTTGAAATTGAAAGGTCGATTACTTGCATTTTTAAGAACTTTGACATTTGATTTCGATCCGATTCATTTGACATTGAATTTATAACCTTCGAAACACCCATTCTTAGGTAGCAATAGTTTATAAACAGAATGAAATAAAGAATTAATTATACATAAGGAAATTAGTAAATTTCCATTAAAAAAAAAAAGAAAAAAAAAAAAACAAAACAGAAAGAAATTTTTTTTCTTTTTTTTTATTTATGGATGGTCGAAATTATGATGCGTATGAACATCGTGACAATGGAATTGACAAATTAAGGTACATCCCTCAAATCGTTAAGGTTGAATTTTAGTAATTGCTCAAATTTTTCAACGAAACGCAATCGCAGCTATGTTACCGCATTAATGCATTTAATGAAATTTATATGGAGCACCGGTATGCTAATAGTTCCGTATGCTTTTCAAAACATTGGCTGGTTAATGGCTTTAGGCATCTTAATCGTTATTATTGCATTGACAACAATTGGTCTTCACGTAATGGTGAGTAAGTGTAATATTTCAAATTCAATTTCGATTATTTCTTATTTATACTTGAAGTTTTTAGTTTAATTCCATGCACGCGTTATGTTGCCGCCATAGAGTACCATATTTAAATATACATGCCGCCTTGCATCAATCAATAAATGAGGGACCTTTACGATTGCGAAGTTTTCGTAAATATTCTAGGTACCCTCTCTCGTATTCGTATATCGTTACGGCAAATGAGATAATAAACATTAACTAATTTAATTATGTTAGAGCGATTTTGGATTTGAATTTAGTAATTTATTATCTCGGGCTCTCGGCTGCGTATGTGATGTTCATAGCTGAAGTAATTAAACAATTTATCGACCATTATTATTATCGAATTGATCTATGGATTTATATATATTTGATGGCCGGCCTATTATTGATTGTGCAATTGTTGCAAAATTTCAAATCTATGGTACGCTGGATTATGATTCCAATAGCATTGTCACATCTCGGTTCGTATAATAAATATATATATGAAAAAGTTTTTTTTCATCAATTTCAAGAACTTTATGTATATTATTGCATATACATTTTCTATTCAGCATTAGTCGTGATGATACTATTAATATGCGTGAATGTATCAAATATTAATGATAAATATTTCGTAAACGATTTAATAAAATATCCAAAATTTATGGGTATTATATTGTTCACTTGCTGTCCGGTCGGTGTGGTGAGTTTGATTTTGTTTTGCGTTGTTAGCGATTGCTTTACATTTTTCCATTTTCATTTGCAGTTTTTAAATGTCGAAGAAGATATGAAAGAACCGCTAGATTTTGTGAAAACCTTTGGTGTCTTAAATGCATTCATGTTAGCAACGTTCCTATTAGCTGCAATATTGGGTTTAACGGGCTACTGGTTTTATGGCGAAGAAACAGCAGCCAATTTCATTCTAAATATTCCCATTTCGCAAAGGTAAAGAAAGAGATAAAAAACTTTCTCTATCTCTATATCTCTATCTCTATCTCTCTCTATCTATCTATTTATCTATCTATCTATCTATCTATCTATCTAAACCTCTCTCTATCTATCTATATATCTATCTATCTATCTATCTATCTCTATCTCTCTCTCTCTCTCTCTCTCTCTCTCTCTATCTGTCTATCTATCTATCTATCTCTTTATTTCTATCTCTATCTCTACCTCTCTCTATCTATCTACATATCTATCTATCTATCTCTATCTCTCTCTCTCTCTCTCTCTCTCTCTCTCTCTCTATCTCTATCTCTATCTCTATCTCTATCTCTATCTCTCTCTCTTTCTCTCTCTCTCTCTCTCTCTCTCTCTCTCTCTCTCTCTCTCTCTCTCTTTATCTATCTATTTCTCTATTTCTATCTCTATCTCTACCTCTCTCTATCTATCTATCTATCTATCTATCTATCTATCTATCTTTATCTCTCTATCTATCTATCTATCTATCTATCTATCTATCTATCTATCTATCTATCTTTATCTCTCTATCTATCTATCTATCTATCTATCTATCTATCTATCTCTCTCTCACTCTTTCTCCTTTTTTCTCTCTGGCTTAACCATGACTTCTCCTATCTATTTAACTACACTGGTGACTTCAGCTACGGCCAGTTTGCTAAAATTATATGCATGTCAGCATTCTATTTCTCTTATCCCATGCATTGCTATGTGCTCGTCGATATTGTTTGGAATACATATTGTATGCACAAATGCCAATCAATTCATCGGCCCTTATTTGATATATTAGCTCGTGTAGCTGTCACATTTCTTAGCGGTATGCAATAATATATCATGATATTTCCGATGATTAAATTATATTTTTATTTTATTTCTCTATAGCTAATGTTGCAGCTCTTTTGCGCTACTTAGATATAATAGCAGCGTTGACGGGTTGTTTGCCACTGAATTTTTTAGTGTTAATCTTACCGGCAGTTATGGATTTATGCGTTTTGTATGAAAGCGGTTACGGCCGCTATAAACTCTCTCTGATACGTGATATTTGTCTTATAAGTTTTGGCATTTTATTGTCTTTAGTAGGCGTAAGCACAATTTCGTATGAAATCGTTAAAATTCCACATTTTGTTACATAAGACAAAAAAAATAAAAAAAAACCAACGGACATTAAACCATGATTAACTCGTTAACTAGTCGTTCAGAAGTGAATACGTGGAAGGTCATTTATTTGATACCCATATCGCTGTTATTATTAAGAAAAAAATTAATCGCGTTGTCTACCAGACTCATTTTAAAATTAACTCATTTTTAGGCAGATAATATACTTTGATTCGACGAGTCTTAAACATTCCGCGTTGTTTGCCTTATGATAAGTGAGTATAAAACCTCAAAAAAGAGGAAAAATGGATAGTTTAAGTTAAATGTAACTTTGGATGGGCATGGTCGATTTTTTCCAATTTTTCCACATAAAGAGTAGAGTGTTTCATAAAGTAATTATGGGAAATTTTCACATTCTACGTTAAACAATTTGCCAATAACTACCGAAAATCCCCAAACCGTTAACACTAAAAGTACCGACATTTCATCCTAGCATGAGCGGTCAAATGACCGCTTCAAAAAAACGTGTGTATCTTAATAAAGTAGATAATAAACAAAATATTGTTCTGATGCTACAATAAAAACTCGTTACCCGCTTTTCGATGTATGTATATTTTACGAAAAGTCAATAAGCTACATGATGATACAATAATGTTTTATGGGAGAAATTTAAAAAAACGAAAGTTTAAAAACGGTCATTGGACCGCGCGTGGTACGTTTAGTGTTAAGAAGCACAGAGTTGTGTTCAATTTACGTTCTACTGCGAGCTTCTCCTCAGACAAATTTCGCCCATTATCGATCTCAACTTGCGCGCAAAAACGTCCAATGCAGAGGGCCAACAAAACGTTTCACACAGACGGACAGACATGGCTAAATCAACTCGGAATTTCACGCTCATCATCAAGAATATATATATATATATATACTGGATGGGGTCTCTGAAGTTTCCTTTTTTTGAATGTTACATACATTATGGAAAAAAAAAACAAAAAACAAAACTTGGCATCATTGCAGTGGTGGATGTAAAAATCAATGTTGGAAGTATTCATCGCCCACGTTTATTACAGATTTTGCATCCTATGAAGTCATTACTTTAACAAAAAATAAATAGTAAATAACGAAATGCTGTCTTCAAGTAGACGTCTACTGCAACAAAATACAGAAAAAAGTGATCACAAAATTCAGGTATTCGCCGCAGTAGATCAAGGCACGAGAAAAGTCGAAAAATTAAAAAGAATTTCTTTTTCTGAATTCATACTAAATAATATAAAAAGATGTATTTGTTGTTATTTATCCGCCGGATTCTTTCAAAATCGGTTTAAAAAACGGTCGTGTAAAAAAAGTTATTGCAAATCTTCAACACGTTTTGAATAAATGCAAATAAAATTTGGCCAAGGCTTCGTTTTCCGAAGAATTTTCATTCATACAGAAAACTTTTAAACGAAAATCAAGAAGCAGAGCATGCATGTCTTATCTTCGATCAAATATTCATTAAATATTCGTATGATGAAAAAATTTTATAAGAAAATATCTTATTGCTTTTGAGATAAGTTTTCTCTTCTTCTTATACAGCACACCTAGCAAAACCGCTTGAATATAACATTAAATTATAATTTGTAAAATCAAGGCAAATATGTAATTAATCCTTTTACAATCGATTATTCAATTTAAGCAACATAATGCTTAACGAATATAGCCAAGCAGAGCGGATGCATCATTAATTTAACAGCATCAATTTTCAGATTAATATAGAAAAGCTTTATGGTTACTAGCATAAAGGTGATTCAATATGTTCTCCACTAAGTATTGGTTGCTGTTAATATGTTTGCATAGAGTACGAATGACAAAAACATTGATTTATCTTACAACTTAATGATGTCTTTTAGGTAAGTAATAATAAAGCTAGATACGCGCACATATGTAAGAGCAAATTAAACCAACAATTGGCAAGCATATCAATGCATTGTGCATGTATTCGATCCGCTATGCATAGAATTTTAACGTAAACAAAAACATTTATTTCATTTATATAGGCATTTATGCAAGTAAACGTTTAACTGACATATAATTCCAAGAAGGTAGCATTAATGACAATCCTTAGGGATGCTATGCTATTACCTCACATAATTATTTGTTGATATACAATATGTCCAATATACATATAAACATGAGTTGATGCACTTACGCATACTCATATACGGTGGTAGCCATCACGTTAAGCATGTCTTGACAATTCAAGGCAAAATGTCAATAATGCATACTGACACCACTTCATCAAATGTACGTAAACGATAAATTACGCAATCGGATGAAATTTTCAACCTTACCACATACGATAATTTTACAATAACAATATATATATATATATATATATGTACGCCTAGTATTTTGCTATACAATGTAAGCGGGATCGTATGGGGGCAAGGATACGTTTAACAATGACCACAGCAGTGTAGCAGTATAGCAGTGATGCCGACAGCATGCAAAATGTTGTTTAAAACCCAAAGGAAGATGATATGGTTGCGTAATATGTGAGAGTAAAGAAATATCCACATGTTGGCAGGTAAATGTGTTTATATGTCGGTAAAATATGGCTCATCACACAACGACATCACTCAGTTAGTTATATAATAAGACTGAAACATGGTGCTAGTGATATTGCTGACGATTTTCAGGTAGCTACCAATGATAGGCACTCATTGTTACACGAGGGAGTTGTGGCACGTACTGACATATTACCATATTGGCATAAATTCCAGTTTAACACAGTAGTCGACTCCGATATTCACATATATACCATTCTATATAGAATATATTTAATTGTAGGTGTGTGTGTGTGTGTGTGTGTGTGTGTGTGTGTGTGTGTGTGTGTATGTGTATGTGTGTGTGTGCATGTGTGTGTGCACGTGTGTGTGTATTTGTGTGTGTATTTGTGTGTGTATTTGTGCATGTATGCACAAAATAATGGTAAAGCAGCTCAGGTGCACACCAGTAAGTGTAAACAAACACAATCAAGGCCAATCATAGTTAGTTTTAATGATAGCGTGTTTATTATCCCAAAAAAGAAAAAAAAAAAAAGCGAAAAGCGAAAAGAGAAACGAACTTAGGAAAACGCTCTATATAACAAACGTAGTTGTACGCATTTGCATGAGCGTGTATACGATGCAAGAAGTACTAATGGACATAATTGTTTTCACACCTATTTTGCAAATTCCACTGATTACTCTCATAACCTAATCGACTTAACCACCCAAATACAGTTAAGACGGTTGCAACAGGATTAATTCGTATGTATGCATGAACGCATATTTGCATTGCAAAAAGTCGCATTGGCTGGTATTCGTTCTGTCTCATATAGAATGAATTGCAATTGAAATGTGGCAAAACATTTTTGCGGTTTATATACACAAATTGGGCGCACATGTCGGTTGCATACCATTACATTACGCTGCAATGCCCAGCCATCCTGTTAAGCCCTTCCTCACATTGCCGTATATATATATATATATGTATATATATATATATATATATATGCATGCATTTGGTAAAGTAATGTCGAAACACTGGTATTCAACGAACGGGTGGTTACGTTGGGTGTGCATGTGTTTGTTCTGTGCTTTACTGAATGTTCTAACCTTTCACCTGGCATTTAATTTACGACATTGTGGTTACAGATCTTAATTAGACGGTAGATAGAGTAGCTCGCGAGCCCGCGAGCCCACGAGCTCGTGCAAAACAACCAATTCTCTCAAGGCTGTCATTTTTCTGTTCTTACTATTTTATTTGTTTTTGCGGTTGTTGTTATTGTTGTTGCCATTGCAGTTACTAGTTGTTTTGATGCCACAATAAACATACATACTTAAAGCCTTAAAACTTTTTCTTCCTGGTGGTTTCTTCTGTTTTTCTTTTATTTATTTATTTTTATTATTATTTTTTTTAAGCCACGTTGTAGGCGCGCAAAAGTATGCCAATTACACTCGTTTCGTACAAAACCACAGCTTGTTGGCTACATCAGCATGAAGCATCAACTATCAGCAACATTACCACCGCGCCAGCACACATCACTACCATCACCAGAGTCGTTGCCATCATCAGATCAACAAGCGAAGTGTAGCATAAACCAAAACCGTCAGAAGTCAAGAGGTGGTATTTTGAGGCGTTGGTGACCTTATTTTTTTTATATTTAAAATTTTTTTTTTTTTTTTTTTTTTGTTCTATAGAATGAAAACACCATACACAACACATCATCCTTGAACATCAGCATCTACTACAGTTTCACATCATCATCATCATCATCATCATCATCGTCATCATCATCATCATTATCGCAGTCATCATTATTAGCATCAACCATATCATCCGAGTACAGGCAATACTTTCCAAACTACTATTTTGTTTCCACTTCTTTCTCTACCTCTGTCACTTCTTAACTTCGTTTTTTGATATTGTTCTCTGCACACGACAGCGCAATAACAGCCACAACTATGAATAAATTCTCACTTAAGATAAGATCATGATATAGTAGTGTTGACTACACATACTCACTCATATACATATATGCATATAAATGTATGTTTGTGCATTTGAGTAATGCTTCTTTAGAGTCTAGTTAATAAGAACCTTGATGTTGATCACACTTTGATTTTACATAGTTGGAAACTTATGAATTCACTTCCAAGCTCACTTACATCACTTTTTCATTGCTGCAGTAACCCGAAATAAAGGAAAATTGGTGACTAACTAAAATATTTCTAATTAATTGTAATAAATGATATTTAATTTCTTCAATTATCTTATTAATTTTTTTATAAAATTCGCTTTTTTTTTTTTTTTTTGACATAGTGGATGGAATACCATACAAAAAAAAAAAAAAAAAGAAGAAGAATTTTTCCCTTAGTAGTTATGTTGAAATTCCTCTATAAATTATTTTTATCGTAAACTCGGTTGAAACCGCCTCTGACTCGACTTGCTTTTTTTCACTTAGCGCATTGTAATGTAGTAAATTGTGTTAAGAACTGCTGCCAGTAGTTAGTTAACG